TGCAAGATACAACAATAAGGCGTTGGACATTATTTATTCTTTAATGCCGGAAAGTCAGTTTACTATTATTGCAGGCTGTGACTCCGCCAAAGACACATGGGAGACGCTGGAAACTCCCTACGAAGGAATTAAGTCAGTCAAGCAATCCAAACTACAAATGGTCCAAACTGATTTTGAAGATCTGAAAATGAAAGAAGATGAGTCGATAGTCGATAGTCGAGTTTCATGCACGTGTTCATGGACTTGCTAACCGTGCAATTGTCATAGTCGAACCGTTTGATCAATCTAAGCTTGTTAAGAAGAGTATGCGCTCTCTTCCTCCAAGATTCCAGATGAAGGTCACGACCATTCAAGAGCATAATGAATGGGAAAACAAATCTGTACATCAACTAATGGGAAGCTTGCAAACCTATGAGATGAAAATCCTAGCCAGTCATTCCACTAAGGAGAAAGCCCTAGCCTTCACTGCTGAAGCTATAGAAGCTGGATCTGATCTAGACGAGGTAAGTGATAATCCAGTGGTTTTTTTAACTAAATGATTTTCCAAGTTATTGAAGCAGGTGAAACAGAAGCAAAATGCTAGAAGTGGAAAATTTCAACCTCACAAAGCCTCGAGTTCAAATGCACCACGAAACAATCAGAAGTCCAGTTCATCCAATTTCCGTCCATCCTCGACGCGAAATTCTCAGTCCAAGGACAAAACTGTTAGAAAAGGTATTCATTGTTATGAATGCGAAGGTTTCGGCCATGTCCAAGCAGAATGTCCAACATACCTAAGACGTAAGAAGTCTATGGCGGCAACTCTGGCCTGGAGTGATGATGATGAACCTGAGATGGAAGGTCCTAGATCTGATCCAGAAGAAATTTTAGGAAATTTTGTGGCATTCACAGCGATCGCCACTTTAGATGAACCTGAAGATCATGAAGCTGACACCGATTCTGATATTGGCGAGTACTCATCTACTAAAGATCGCAATCTGCCCGTACCTTTCTTCGAAGAAGAATACAAAAAATTGTATGCCAGGTGGGAAACTCTTGTAAAAATTAATAGAACCTTGTCTAGTCAAATTAGCAATCTAGAAAATGTTAGGAAAGTGTACCAAAATCAGATTGCGGACAAGGATGAATGCATAAAAGATGGCCTCAAACGTGAAGAAGGTCTTAAACGAGAGCTAGAGATGCTCAAACGTCGCATCAAGATGATGGACAACTCATCTACTCTCGACCAAATATTGGATTCTAGTAGGTAAACTACTCCAAAATATGGTTTGGGATTTGCAGGTGGTAAGGACAAAGCCGTGACAGTGTTTGTAAAGGCTTCTGGCGCTGACCCAGCTCTAGGATCTGATCCAAAAACTCCAGAAACCAGCACTGCAAGGAAGCAACCCAGTAACATAAAATATCTAAAAACAAACTACAAATATTATAATCCTATTTGCCATTACTGTAGGGTTCGAGGACACACAAGACCGGAGTGTTTCTACTTTTACAAAGACCAAAGACGCGAGAAGTTCACCAACAAAAATGTCATGCCTTTTGTTAAGAAAATTTGGGTGAGAAAAAGTGATTTGTGTGTCATGTCTCATTCCATTCCACAAGTACAAACGGAGAAGAAAGGTGGTACTTTGACATCGGTTGCTCACGTCATATGACGGGAAATTCAGCCTACTTGAACAACATCAAAGAGAGTAAAGGAGAAGTTACCTTCGGAGATGGAGTTAAAGGAAATATCACGGGGATTGACACTCTAAATATTCCAAGGCTGCCCAAGCTACGTCAAGTTCTCTTGGTAAATGGTCTTCATGCAAATCTCATAAGCATAAGCCAACTATGTGATCAAGAGTGGAATGTGTGCTTCAATAAAGATAGTTGCAATGTCATGGACAACCAAAACCACTATGTCATGGAAGGTAAGCGATCTTTAGATAATTGCTACATTCTCACTAGTGATGTTCTCTGTTGCAGGTCCAGGGTCAAGGAATTGAATCCGAGTTTTGGCATCAAAAACTAGGTCATTTAAACTATCGCTCACTCGAAAAACTGATAAAGATTGATGGTGTTCGTGGACTACCAAAGATGAAAGTTGAACCAGCAGGTGTTTGCAGTTCTTGCCAAGCTGGGAAGCAAACAAGAGCATCTCACACTGCTCAAACTATCATTCAAACGACACATTTTCTGGGGCTGATCCACATGGATCTCAATGGACCTACCCGAACTGAAAGCATTGGAGGAAAGAGGTATATCCTAGTGTGTAGATGATTTTTCACCTTTTTCTTGGGTTACGTTTCTCAGGGAAAAGTCAAAAACCTTAGGAGCATTCAAGGCACTAGGTCTCAGGTTGCAAACAGAGAAAAATGAACCTATAATACGCATCAGAAGTGATCATGGATGTGAATTCGATAATCTGTGCGCAAGTTTGGGTATCACTCATGAGTATCTAGCACCCAAAACACCACAACAAAACGGAGTCGTGTGGAACGGAAAAATCGTACCGTTCAAGAGATGGCTAGAGTTCTCCTAAATGCAAAAACTCTACCCCAGAAGTTCTGGGCTGAAGTAGTAAACACTGCTTATCACATTATCAATCGAGTTTATCTTCGACTTGGAACGCACCAAACACCCATGAGATCTGGAAAGGTAAGAAACCGAATATTAAATACTTTCACATTTTTGGCTCACATTGTTTCATCTTGAAGGATCGGAATCCAACAGCAAAGTTTGAACCAAAAAGTGAGGAAGGAATTTTTCTTGACTATTCCCCAAATAGTCGTGCTTACCGGGTGTACAACAAAGTCACCAAATCCGTCATGGAGTCCATAAATGTAGTGGTTGACAATCAACCTGATGATATAATTGAAACACCTGTGTCTGGATCTACGTCAAACCCTGAATCAAATCATCCAGAATCTCCAGACACTGCTCCAGCCTCTCTGCCAGATCACAAATCCAGACTCTCTGCCAGACCAAGAACCTGGAGAGGTTGATGTGTCAACTCGAATTCAAAAAATCATCCAACTCAAAATATTATTGGTGATCCTACTTCCGGAGTTCGTACTAGGGGGAGAAAACGCAACTATCTTGAATTAGCTAGATATGCATGCTACACGTCCAAAATAGAACCAAAGAATGTGAAAGAAGCTCTATCCGATGAACATTGGATTAAAGCAATGCAGAAATAGTTGGAACAATTCAAGAGAAACAAGGTATGGAACTTAGTCCCAAAACCTAACGATGTTAACATTGTAGGCACAAAGTGGATTTTTTCGTAACAAAACCGACTAAACGGATAACATCGCTCGAAACAAGGCTAGATTAGTAGCTCAAGGCTACTCCCAAATCGAAGGAATTGACTATGATGAGACATTTTCTCCAGTTGCACGTCTAGAATCCATCCAACTTCTTCTATCCATTGCATGTGCCTCAAGGATAAAGCTACTCCAGATGGATGTGAAAACAACCTTCTTAAATGGATATCTATCCGAAGACATATACGTTGCACAACCAAAAGGCTTTGAAGACCCTCATCACCCGGATTATGTCTATAAACTGGACAAGGCACTATATGGTCTTAAACTAGCTCCAAGGGCCTAGTATGAAAGGTTGTCTCAGTATCTACTCCAGCATGGCTACAATCAATGGGGAGCAAACAAAACTCTATTTATCAAAAAGTCAGGTAAACATGTTACTATTGCTCAAGTATATGTTGATGACATCATTTTTTGGTTCCACACAAACAAGTGTGACGGATCAGCTTGTCAATGTTATGAAACAAGAATTCGAGATGAGTATGATTGGGAAGTTAACTTACTTCCTAGGTCTACAAGTTCATCAGACAAATGAGGGAATATTCATATCCCAAGAGAAGTATGCCAAAAATCTGATAAAACGCTTTGGATTAGAATAAGATGCACGATCTCCAATATCAACATCTACAAAATTGACTAAAGATGAGTCAGGAACTGGAGTTGACCCTACCCTATATAGGAGCATGATAGGGAGTCTTCTTAATTTAACTGCAAGTCATCCAGACATCATGCTTAATGTTGGTATGTGTGCCAGATTTCAAGCTGACCCTAAAGAGTTACATCTCCAAGCTGTCAAATGCATCACCAAGTATATAAAAGGTACACTAAACTTTGGTATATGTTTTTCGAATGACACAAGTTTAAGTCTTGTAGGATACAGTGATGCTGACTGGGCCGGTAATGCTGATGACCGAAAAAGTATATCAGGAGGATTTTTTTTATAGGCAAAAACCTGGTAGCGTGGCTATGTAAAAAACAAAACTCTATCTCTTTGAGCATAGCTGAAGCTGAGTACATATCTGCGGGAAGTTTCTGCAATCAGTTGCTATGGATGCGACAAATGATGAGTGACTATGGGATAAACCAAGAATGTATGACTTTGTACTGCAATAACACAAGTGCAATAAACATTTCCAAAAATCCGGTTCAACATTCACGAACAAAAAATATCGATATTAGGCGCCACTTTATCCGGAAATTGGTAGAGGACAAAGAGATTGGTTTAGAGTATATCTCAACTGACAAGAACCAAGCAGACTTATTCACAAAGTCGTGGACGATACCAAATTTGAAAGCCTACGGGCAGCCTTAGGGGTCTGCAAATTACCAAGTTAATGGCTTCCCTTCCTTCAAATAAAGGCAAGTAAATAAATTGTCCACTATTAAGTTTTTTTTTCTTTTAACGTTTTCTTTATGTTTTTTCAGCCCTAACCTAGTGCCAGGACCCAAGTCAGTTCCAAGGCGGTCATCTACTTGTTTTTTTCCCCGTAAAAACAAAACAAAAGAGACAAAAGATAACCTTCTCGTTTTTTATCCCCCTAAAATAAACCCTATTTTAAATCCTTCGCCCTTAAGAATAGGTCAATGTGTGTTGGAAAAATTTATCCTCAAAACCTTACCGCCCAATTCCGTCACATCACACTTCCTCTTCTCTGAAAAAATTCCTAAGCTTCAAATCAGTTACCATCACTTCGGCCTTTCCAATGCCGTCATCCTCGTCCTACTTCCAGCTCTCATCCATTGCCGCAGATCCAAACCAGATAAACCCCTTCCTCATCTACCTCTCTGATGATGAACACACCAACCTATACCGACAAATTCTCACAGGCTCAGCGCCTCTTCTTCCCGACGTTGAGGAACGAGTTCTAACTACTCTTGTTCAGAATCAGGATCTCATGGGCAATCTCACTCTAAATGAATCGAAGAATATCCTCACCATGGTTGCCCACGTGACCGCTGAACCCTAGCCAGTTGATGCTTCTGATGATGAGGAAACTATTGATGAAGTTCAACTTACGACAGACCTGGAGGCGAAGAAATCTAATGCTCTGGTAAAAGTTTCTTCCTACTTAGAATGCAATAGCTCACTGCCTGAGTCTAGGGTTCCTCAGTTCTTTGTTAGTTTGCCTGTAAATTTTGCTTATTCTTCTGTGAAACCCTCATATATGCCTTGTGTTGATGCTAACCCTCTAGCTACTGTTATTTACACTGGTCCCTTGCCAGGAACTTCAACGTCTAAGCCATCTCAACCAGCATCTCACCCTCCACCAGTTATCGTGTCCGACCCTGCTCTTGTTACTACCGGGTTCTCAATTAGGGATATTGTGTCTTGTTCAGGTGCTCCTATCACCTCCACCCAACAAGCAGTGCTCTCTGATCTAATTAAAAATCTCCCTAATCTACGCTTGTCCACCCAATCTGTTCCTATCATCACTGTCCCTTTCGTCAAAAAATGCAAAAAGGGTAAAGAAAAGGTTGTGTTTTAATCCCGTACTGTTCCCTCAAAACATAAAGCATCTGAGTCTAATGATGATGTTGTGATCATCTCTGAAATTAGGAAAAAAAAAAAATCTGCCCCCTCTATCTCTGTTCGGGTGACTAGATCTAGAACAGGTGTTTCTACTCCTGTTGCTCCTCCCATACAGAAACATGAGATGAGTTCGGTTTCTAAGCCCTCTAAGCCGAAAACCACTCCAAAGTCTAGCTCTGCCTCGAAATCTGTCTCTGTTCCAGGAGCACACTTTTTTTATGCCAAAAATTCCAAACGTAAGCCTTTCAAACCTGTCTTGCGTCTGTATCAGCTTCTGGATAGTTGGAATATCAACTTTGCACGCTCTATGTTGGTTGAGAAGAGTATAGATGTGGACAATCTCTTATACAGTGCAATGTCGTATCTCTTCTTCATGATCAAAACCTTCTTCAGACTGTTCGTGATGTGGGATCTTACTCTATATGGCGGACTCCAGAATTTTACACCAACTTGTCTCCTGACTTTATACTTGCCTCCTTTGAGCACTATCATCAAGTATTTGTGCGCTACAAGTGGTATGACTTCAGCCCCTATGTCATCAATAAGTACTTCAACAGATCCGCGATGGAAGAGGACTTTGATCCCAGTTTGGATGTTCTAGTTTCTGCTCTTACTCATGCTGAGATTACCTCTTGGCCAGCTACTGGTCTTCCCTCAAACTCTCTCACTATTGTCTACTCAGTTCTATTTCGATTGGTGTCAAGTAACTGGCTTCCAAGTGTCTCTCTGCATGTTGTCAACAAAAAGATGGCATTACTACTCTACAAAGTGAGGAACAAAATCAGCTTTGATCTGGGTATGCTCATCTACAATCACGTCATGACCTTTGCAAAAGGGAAGGAACCCAAAGTCCATTTGCCTTTTTTTTTTTTTTTTTTTTTTTCCCTATCTCATCTATGGTATTTTGAAGGCTCAGGGACTAACTCTATGAAAATGAGCATGAATACACTATTTCCAAAAAAAAATACACCATGGATTACAGACTACATCAAGGGTCCCACTATGACGATAGAGCCTCTCTGCTCTGTGACACTACTCATGCCTCAACTCCAGCCCAGACAGCTTCCGGTCTTCCTCTGCCAGGCATGACTCTACTGCTCCAGTTTCTACTCCATCCTGCCCTCCAGAGCTTGTGACTCTTCAAAAATAGGCTGATTACTACAAGTATGTCTCTATTTCTCTGAAGAGCAATATTGCCTCCTTACAAGCTGTAGTTGCTAAAACTGAAAACAAGTTCTCCTGCACTCTGAGGCAGATATCCAAGCTTGAAACGACATCTCATCTCACCTTTCTACTCATGAGGAACCCGAGGATGAAGACATGGGCACTCTGATCCGTCTCAGAGCTCCAGCCACTAGATGACATGATGGCCCCTTGGCATTAAGTGTGACAAAAAGGGAAAGTACGGTTGAAAGGGGGAGTTTGTATTAAGGGGGAGGTTTTTGGTTGGTTGGTTTTTGACTGCACATTTGAACTGATAATAAGTGTAATAACGTGATGTTTTTTTTTATGCTTGGTGGTAATGTGAAAATCTGATTCTTCTTGGCTCATGGCGACGTGTATCTTTGTTTGCTGGTGTTTTTGATTGCTTGCTTTATTTGGTGTGATCTCTTAATTATGTGTCTAAAGTGCATAAGTGTGTTACATGTTAAACTGTTTGGTTATGAGGTACATTATCAGGTCTTGTGGCAGTCGGGTTGGAGGTTGTATGGGGATGGAATGTTTTTGAGGGGTGGTTTGTTCTTTGGAGCTGCTTCTGATTCTGATCCAGAATCTGATAGGATTAAACTGTAAGCAAGTATACTCAGGCTTTTAATAAAACCTTGTTTATATTATAGCCTTCAAGTATATTTGTAGTCATGTGTTTTGTCAACTAATTGCCAAATGGGGAGATTGTAAGTGTAATAAATGTTACACATTGGACCCTTTAGGTTGGCTTAATTAGTTGTCAAAATTGTGAAGTATTTTTTATTCTGGATCACGGTAAGGTCACACTCCAGTTAGCAGAATACTCCTTCAAAGGTTGTTCTCTCAAGACCCTATTATTGTGCTGTTCTAAATCATGTGGTGCTGCTTCTCTTGAGGACTTGGTAGCAGCACGATTTCATATAAGGAGGTTCCTTTTTTCACCTCTATAAAATGCTACTTTCTTTGATTCATCAAATGCGCTTTTTGAAGGGAAAATCTACCATCATCTCCTAGTCCTCCAGTACTATCTATTAATCTAATTCGAGTATTGAAGACACCCACTAGCTGATGGCTTGCATGATCAGTCCATAATGATGATATAAAGTTGATAGGGATAGCTTGTTGATCATCTAGCAGTGGATTGGACTGACATGAGTGGCCCCGCAGATGTAGGAGTGAGGCTCCAAACTGCGTGAACACATCCTGGTGTCTAGTTCCTCTTTTTACTTCTTGTTCATTTTAATTTGTTTCTGGCACAGAAGCTAACTCTAATCCAGATTAATATTCGAATATAAAACTTAATAGGAACCATAAGAGAAAGTCTTGCATTCAAGATCCACTTGTTTTTTCAGAAACGTTACCTAAAGTAGCAATTCAAAATAAGCTCTTATTTTAAGCTATGAGCTTATGTTGATAACATTAACAAACAGAACTTATAGCTTGTTAGTTACTTAAAATAAGGTATAAGCTCTTAAATAAGCTCTCCCAAATAGACTCATAATCTAACATTCAAAATATGTAAACGTTGAAAACTAACATTTTAGTAACAACAAACTCTCACTCTTTAGTACTAGATGAACCTTCATGGGTGGCCACGATATCGCGTGATACAAGCCAATCCTCACACACCCATCACGGAGATTTGTTTGTTTTTACTCGCAAATTTCACTGCCAGGCCAAATTCTGAAACAAAACAAGAACTCTCGCTCGCATGTTCTCTCAAATTAAGAAGCTAATTGTAAGTGTACAAATTATACACGTAAAAAATCCTTGATATAAATTGACTAATTTAATTATTAAAGGGTTAGAATTATTTAATGTGAAACACTTTATGTTATACGCTTGGACCATCTCATATTTATGCTGCTCCACAGGTTTGAAATATTGAGCTATTATTATTTTGCATGGAATTAATTATTATGGTCATGGTATATTTCAAGTGAGCAGCACCTGGAGCAAAATGCATGATTATATGGTTTATTATGGCACTCAATGGGTTTATGGAATCAAAACTATAATTAAGGAGTTTATTATTTTTGAGTGGCTTTGGTAATTCTCAAGTGAGTGGATGGCTACTTCAAATCAAATGTGTATGGTTGTGGTTTATCGAAATGAAAGGGATGCTAATATTAAGGATCAAGGTGATGGGTTAAAACAGCTATAAAAGGAAGTCTCTCCAAAGATGAAAGTTGTCATTTTTGTGAACTGCTATATTGAGTGAAATCTACACAAGTGTTATTTAAATTCATCAACTAAATTATGTTATTATTATTATTGTAGTTCAATTCAGGTCTGCACAGACAGTACCTGGTATAGCTGAAGCTTTGCTTGAAGATTGATATGGCATGCACGGTTTAGTCCTGAATAGGTGTTAGGAAGGGTTGTAGTGGTAAAGGCTGAGGGCCATTTGTACTTGCCTCTTGTAATACACCTTGCTGAACATCTATAGTGGATTGGGCAGACGTGAGTTGCCCCGCAGACGTACGAGAAGCGCTCCGAACTGCGTGATCAATCTCTGAGTACTTGTTTTATTTTTATGCTTTTATATTTTGTTATTTATGTTCATTAAATAACCTAATTAATTGATAATGCAATATCTCTTCTACAAACAAGTAGAACATTAAAGGTGTAATTGAATTCAAGACTCACGGAACATTTTCACTAATTAAGGAAGCTTTAGGGAACATTTGGGTTGATATATGCTCATTATCACAAAAGCCTTGACAAATACCAAGTCAGCCACCCAAAACAATTTTGGAATACGTATATTGAATCAAATATATCATTTTGTTATAAATATATCATAAGTGGACATTATTTTTATAACGGATATAACGGTCATTATTAATACCATCATTATGGCTTTATTATGGCTTTTGTATTATATATGTATTGCCATATATTGTATGCCTGATGAAGGAAACAGATGAATGAATACGAGATATTCCTCTTTCTCTCTTATCTCTTTGTTTTTTAACACGTTATCAGCGCTTCGCTCTGACCAAAAATCCTCTGGCCCCTCTCCGGGGAAAACACGCACGGCCTCTGGCGCCAGCGAGCCTCAACCCAAATCCAAAATCTCCCCAGAGAAATATTATGTGCAATTTTTTTATAGAAAAGTAAATTTACTATATTGAAAATATGTCCTCTATTACTCTGTATACTGCGTCTTCGTTTTCCTTCCCGCAAGGCTACGGCGAGAGGTGGTAGACGGAGATCGTAGCGATCGGTTTCCGCAGACGACACCGGCTTTGTAGACGATGATCGGATTCCGCAGACGCAGTCAGCTTCTTCCTCCCAGACGCCGGCAAATCGATCTTCTCTCCGCTCGAGAAGGGCAACCGGTGTGTCCATCACGGCAGTCTGATCTCGCCCGAGGAAGCGTCACGGCTTCTCCCCGTTTGTGGATCTCCCTTCGCGGTGATCTTGACCAGATCAATCGTCGACCCCATCGATCGGAGAGCACCGCGTGAGGCCGGTTTCCCCGCGTGATCCTCGTTCTCTCCGCTCTAGAACTGACCGACGATCAAGACGAGAACAGGTTGGTTTTCGGGGACGAAGACCGAGGGCGGCTGGTTTTGCAGTCCGGTGACCAGATCGAGGACGATCGTTCCTTCCTCTCTCCCTGCTTCCCATTCGTCACGCCCAGAAGGCGTCACGGCCCATCAACCGCCGCCAGCTATTGGCCGACGATTTGCATTTGATGTAGGCTGGAGATCCGTGGCAGACTATATACACGGCCAAAAGATCTTTCTCTGGCGATAAGATCATTGAATACACGGCGAAAAGATCAGCAAATTGGTGAACGGTATTTCTTATGAATTCTACTTATTACTTGAGTATGTTATTGCCCAGTTAAATTTGTGGCCATTTTGGGTTAAAATTATTTGCATAAATTCTGGGGCCTGATTCTGAATATTGCATAGCTTCATATTCCTTTTGCCTATTACACCTACGTACAAAGTTAATATGTTGTATGAGTGCAAAGTTAATGGTTAAATGCGAGCAAGAAAGAAATTTGGCTCTTTAGAATGAGTACTAGCTTGCAGTGCATGAATAGAAGCTCCACATAGAAAGCAATGCCTTGGAATTCTTCTGTTATTGCTGGCTATCCCAATATTGCTAGTTTTGCTGTACGTGTAAAATTTACAGTACACAACATGTGATTATCTATGTCACTGAGGCCCAAGTACTCATACTCCATTTTTAATACTCTCAAGAGATATATTAATAGTTAATGCATATGGCCCTTTGTGATGTATATGATATATACATCCATATCCGTATCTGAGCAAGAAAATATCTATACATATATTGATGTGATGGATGTTTTTAGATCTATATATGCAACTGGCCAGAATTTTCTGAAAACAATCTATATGGAATATAATTGAGCTAAAATGGGTGATTACCTCTATGGTTTTCTTTTACTATGGTTATTGTTCATCGATGATACTAATCATTTGCTATAGGCCATAGAGGTAGAGATTTATCTCATATCTTAAATCTTAAACATAGCATTGCCTAGAAGGTGAATTCATAGCTCTAATTATATGATAATAGCACTAGAACAATTTCTATGACTAATGTCAAATTGACTTAATTCTGATTTGGAAGTCAATGATTATTTGTCCAAATTCATGCATATTGATGGTGTTAGTTTTTATCATAAAATTATATGGCATGAGTCTTGAATCTTGAATATCTCAAATCTGAGTATCAAAACAAAATAATAGTGCATATTTTCAATATAGTTTTGCCCAGAAAGTAAACACTTAGAGCACTAATATTTTTTTTTGACACATTTTGTTCTAAACCATCAGTTATGAATATTTGATCTAAAAGGATCTATAGACCCTAAGTCAATCCCTGAAGGATATTTGGTGTATGCGGGTCTAATTGTCAACTATGATGGTCATATTGTACTCCAGTACATAAAATATTATACTAAGTATTTTGAATGTTTTTTTATAAGAAACCAAAAACTTAGTTTTTTTTTGTGGGAATATACTCTCTGAGTTTTTTTAAACCTTCCCTACTTGACCATGTATTTGATCATTACTGGGCTACTTTCTAATAAGGTCTGGAAGACCTCAAATGGGATTGATCTTTAAGGTGCCTAATGGCTCATGAATGAAGTTTGCAATTTCTATTTCTAATGCTATGCTACTCTCCAAAAGTCAAAATTGACTCACTTCATGTTGGTTTGTCTGAAGCAAACAAATTGTATTCTTTTTACACAGCAATTACTGCTTGAAAATTCTGACCGGCGCAATTTGAAATTAAATTCGTGAAAAATACTTCTTGAACTCCTTTTGGCATTAATTTTTTTCTGGAGAACCTCGACTCGTGATATTTGATTTCTGTAAAAATATTTTGTTAAAAATATGATTTGGTTATTCCAGAAAAATTTGTAAAGTTTTGGCAGTGTGCTGCCAATTATTTTTCTGCCTGGAGTAATGTTGGGAAAATTTTCGAAAAAATACTTCTTGAAAATTTTTATGTACGTTCTAGACTTGCTGAACTACATATTTGCAAAATTTTGTGTCAAAATGTGTTGCCCTTTTCCCCAGAAAATTCTGCAATCCAGGTCAAAATTCTGGAAATTTTCTGCCGTTTTCAGCTTGTATATCTTGCTATTTTGTGATATTTTCATGCTTGTATGAAACTATGAGATAAAATGTGAGCTTGCTTGGAAAGTGCTGTTTTTGACTCCATGAAATAGGAATGAATCGGCCCAGCAGCAAACATGTGCTCATTATTCTTCGGCGAACGGTACTTCTCTCATTTTTCTAATTTATGAATTAATAAACAATATCTCTTGTCATGTTATGCCTTGTGTGTCCCAAACATGATACTCTTTATTTAATGGATGTGCATGACGCAATTGAGAGTTTGGTGTCCAAGACATAAGGGACAATTATATCACATGCTATTGCATGCTTCTCTTTAATTGACAACTTTTAGCATATAATCTCTTGATTAGGCTCATATAAGAGCTTTTGTAATTTCTTGTTGGCAATTAATTATTTTTTATAGGTCATAGCTATTGAGATTCATCACCCAACTTATAAGTGTGGCAATAGCATGAATTCTCAATATGGTTAGGTTGCACCTGTCGTTGCTAAACCTTAGCTTGCATGTGATAATAGTTAAATGCTAATGCTAGTTTCTGATATAGAAACTTTTTGACATGAGATTTGGGCATATGATATTTAAATTTATAGCCCTCATTGTTTTGTATATTTATTTGCCCAGAAGGTATATTAAGGATTTTAATTCTCTAAGTCATCCTTTTAGGATGAATCTTGACAATGAATTCTTGACCAAAAATGGTCAACCTATCCCATCAATCCCCGAAGGATTGCTTGACGTTACTATATGAGTCAAGTTTTTTTAAGTCTAACTCATTGCATATCACAAATTAATGCCTCATGGATTGCTATACCCCTTTTTTTTCACCTAGTACATGGTTTCAGAAGTAACATTTCCCTATCTGCGTTATTTTTTTTTTTTTTTGCGCAGTCTATTTTATATCACACCACAATGTACCTCTAAAGGGCTATCAAAGAAACCTCCGTCTATTGATTAAATACCGAAAGCCCATGATAGGGGATCAATACATATAATTGGGTAAGTTGACTGCATTCCTAATGAAAATTGTTTCTCGGCATTAGGGGCGGATAATATACTAGTTTTTAATGGAATGCCAAGAAATTTCATAAAATGAAAAGATCTTCATTATCTAAATCCACGTACTAGTTAGTCTGAACTAGAAGTTCAAAAGATAATCTATTTGCGATATTAGCAAATAATCTGCCAAATACATCTATTGATCATACCGGTCATAAAAGAGTTACTAGGTTCTATGTACCTTCCCCAACATGGACCAAATATATCTACCGATACTCCTTGACGCCAGAAGTGTAGGAGATCTATCGATGAAAAAGATATGAATCATAATACTAGATCTAGTAAAGAAACATTGTCACTCTTGAAATAAGCTTGAACAATTAAAGTCCTGCAGACATTCGTCCAGAAGACGAAAAATCCTAGTAAAATTTATAGGTGCGCCAAACAAACGTAATACTAGGGATGTGGAATGACCAAATCAAAATATCTTTAGGGAAATGTTTAGAATCTGGTTATTTTAAAAAAAAAAAAAAATTGCCATTAACTTTTACAAACATGGGAGACATTTATAAAGAAGGTTATAGTTGTCGACAACACAATTGCCATTACAAAATGCTCGTCATATGATAATCTGGATCCAGAGTTAGGCACCGAAAGTGTCATGACTATTTAACATAAAAAGGAGCAATTAAGACATAGCTCGACTCGCTAAAATGAATAAGTCCTCTTTAACAATACACCGTTAAGCGTTAACCCTGAATGTTACAAATGGGTGTGTGCATGAAAGAGAAGTAAGAATAACGAGGTGATAAGATATGAAGCGAGTCTGTAGCCTATGGGTTCGCGCAGAGACCCTTAATTGATTTTAGTTAAATATACTCTCCCATAGTACATGGCATTAAGTTCCGCTACACAATACAATTGGCAGAATACTAAATTTAGATATGCAGTTAAATTTATCTTGAGAAATCCTGGATGGATTCATAATTCTCGAATTGAGGATTTATTTAAGTATTATTATGTGTCATTATTTACTCTTTAAAGGGTTACGAATGGAGTTAATATCCTCATTGAAGGAATAATATGTACCATTGTGTGCTCGATAAAAGGTTGATAATGAACTTATTTATTATTTATTATCTCAGTCAAGATTGATGGTGTAAACATCAATGAAATATATAAAGAGCTTGATAATGTCAGTTCATGTTTAAAGACTGAGACTTTTGAAATAAAAAGCTTGTGAAAGCTATAAGTATTATCTCGACTTGAAGATCGAGTTTTTCTTTGAAGATTTTTTTTTTATATACACCAGTCAGTCTACATCTAAAAATGCTTTTTCACATGTCTATATGCATATAAGTGTCATGTTTTTATCAAACTAAAGGTTGCCTAATAACCTCTTGAAGCAGATAAGGAACCTTTTTGGACTCGAAGTCCCTTACTTCATTATCGTTGGAGCACCATTGTAGAACCAAAAGTTCCATAATCGCAACATATTTGCGATGAAATTGCTAGCAAAATTTAGTGCTCTCCTTACAAATGAAGTACTTGAATAATGATTAACATATCCTCTGGTATCTTCGAGATACAAAGACATGACATTTATGTAAGAAACCATGATACGGTTTTAATAGGCTACTTGGGTACTGGCTGTTTTATTTGATCCACGCAATGCCAAGTCTAAACTGGTTTATACAATGAATTTTCCTAAATGTTCAAGATGAGGACAATAATACTTGTGTTGCACAAATGTTATATGAGTTCTAGAAGAGCCATAAGATTATTAGATATTTACTCCAGTGACAATCCAGAAGATTTGTCCAATCCATTTTTTCAAATTTTTGAAATATATGTAGAACTTGAAGATTGTTATCTTCAGGGGGAGACGGGAAGTACATTTACTCGAATCAATCTGGAAGATTGAATGTAAAATCCTAAAGATTAAGTCATAAAAGACTAACAGTTGCGCACTATTTGCAACACATAAATACATAAATATCATGTACTCTTTTTCTCACTAGTTTTTTTCCATTGAGTTTTTCTAGTGTGATTTTTAACGAGGTATGAGTATGATATAATAATGTAAATGAGGAATGTTGCAAAATAATTGCTTCAGTAGACAAACTCCAAAATCCTGAAGATTATGTTGATTATGCCTTGAAAGTTCACGGTTGTACTCTTTTTCCCTTAACTAAATTTTTCCCACAAGATTTTTCTTAAGTTAAGGTTTAATGAGGCGACCAATACAATATATGTTTTTACATGTATCATGTACTTTTTTCTTCAATTAAGTTTTTCCCACGTGATTTTCCTAGTAAAGTTTTTAATGAGGCATGAATATATTTTTTATTGTACTCTTTTCTTGTCAAGGTTTTTCCCACAGGGTTTTCCTAGCAAGTTTTTAACGGGATAAAATTGTGATCAAATAATGTCCAAGGGAGAGTGTTATAAATATATCATAAGTGGACATTATTTCTATAACGGATGTAACGGTCATTATTAACACTATCATTATAACTTTATTATGACTTTTGTATTATATATGTATTGTCATATATTGTATGCTTATGAAGAAAACAGATGAATGAATACGAGATATTCCTCTTCCTCCCTTATCTCTTTGTTTTTAACACATTTCACAACAACAACTACGTATAATAATATTGAATCAAATTTAGTGCAGAGGATTGTAATACAAGCTAAGGACCTACCACTTAAATATATTATATCATCTCAAGCAAAAAAAAAAAAAAAAAAAACTGCATCATATCGTCTTCCCCTGAGGGAAACTAATCCGTTATGTATCTATATATGTATATCAGCGGAACCTTACGACAACGGAGGAAACATCGTCGGTACTCTTCCTGGAGATGGCCTCAACGTTAAGGTGCTTGGCGGCTGTCCGAGGATCTTTTATACCTCTAACGCACTTCACTGCATCTTCATTCGACATTACCTGCACCGCCATATATCATATAATGCATATAGATCAAACCAGACTGAATCCAATCAATTAGTTATTCTAACCCATGAACTTATAGGCCGGGACTCTTAACAATTATATATTATACACAAGATCCAACAATTGATGTGGAAACAAAATGAAAATTGCATGAATTGAATTGATGAAGAAAACATATATGCATGCAAATTGACCTTCCATATTCCATCACTTGCTAGAATAAGAAACTCAGTTTGATCATCTATGGCCTCTGTCACCACATCTGGTTCTGAACTAAGGTGCTCCTTCAAGCTCTTGTCACCAAATGCCCTTGCTACTGCCAACTGCCCATCCACTCGTGGAACATCCCCTGATAATATATATATATACTCTAATATATTAACGCATAACCAAGCTATAAAAACATGCATATTATTGCATCTCAATTGCAACGGTCTTTGTTACGACCTCAATAGAATTGTACGTAACTTTAAGAAATTTTTCATAGACTTTTAATGTGTTAAGGGAAAGTGATAAATGATTCAACCGCAATTTTCTTAAAAGGCCAGACTTATTTGAATTTACTCATAATAAGACGTACTTAACTTTATAAATTTTCCCCAAAAGAATCCCATAATCTTGCATTCTTTGATTAATGGAAAAGCTACAACAACAACAATTATTTGGGAGTGCGTTCTAGGTAAAAATTGTCTTATAACTTAAAAATAAAATATTATAAAAAGGTAAAAGTGTAAAACAGTATAAATTAAGTTGTCTATAATTGACTGATTGACTCAAATTAAGAAAGCTAATTCAAAAATCAGTTTGACACTTTGTAAATATACTAAACTAATTGCCAGATGAACTCGATTAGGTTGTCCTTACTGCATTATCTTGGACTCTATAACTATTAAAAAAAAAAAAAAAGCTACCATATAATCCCATTTGAATAAATTATGTAAATTCCCATGAAACAACACATGACAATATATATAGGTAGATGAGAGATTGAGAATTCAACTTATGACATTCTAAATGAAAGTTGAAGGTTTTCGTGATTTTTCATATATATATATATATATATATATATATATATATATATATATACCTGGAAAGTTTGAGACAAAACCACCTCTATCCTCAATAACCTTCTTCTCTCTTTCAGGCTCATGATCCACCGACAGCTGTTTGGCTACCCCATTCTTGCAGATGACGGCGCGTGAGTCGCCGACGTTGGCCACGATCAGTTTCCGACCATTGATTAGAATCGCCGTGACGGCCGTGGAGCCTCCTTTCCCCAACTCCGCCGCCTTCTCCAAAATCGTGGAATCTGTAATGCGATATGCTCTTCTGATCGCACTCTCCGGTTCAGACCAGAAGTTTGGCTGCTCCATTCGTCATCAGAAATTAATTAATTAAATAAACTCAATCGATGTTGAGAATTATTGAATGGAATCATAGATTTAGACGATTTACGTATAGTACCTCGTTTAGGATGTTGTCGAAGAGGTGAGATCGAAGGTAATTGGGGACCTCTTGGCTTAAATGGCCGTCGAAGATTGCGAAGAGGCCGAGTTCGTTTTCATCGTCAACTTCCTTAAACTGTGCGAAAACATAGTCTTCCATGGCATGACGCATCTTTCCTTCCACCAAATGGTAGCCGTGTTTTATGTTCTCCGACATCCTGCTTCTCCCCTTCCCCGCCTCTTGTGCACCTGAACCCACCTTCATTTTCCCTTGCTCTACTGATTCCGAACTTCCCTACACAATTCAATACATACTTCACACAGTTAAACTGACCTGCTCAATTTCCTATGTACGTATATATGTGTGTGTGTGAGACATACCTTGTTGTTATGGAGGATTTGATTGGAAGACATGATATGATGGAAGATTTAGAGAGAAATTAGCAGAAGAAAAGTATATATGAAAATAGCTAGCTAGCTAGGAATGCAAAAAGCTAAGCTAAGGTTCCAAAATAGGTAAGCTATAGATGGAGCGAGAAAGCTAAAGGGGGAAAAGAGAGAGAAAATTAAAGAAGAGGGTGACAAGTGTATAGAAAGGAGATGACGAGGTTTGTAGGGTTGACACGACCCCTCTCCGCCGCTTTTCTTGCGCCTTTCACTGATATATTGGATATGTATCTCAAAAACTACACGATCCAACATAACTTGTGACAAAGTCCCAACAACAATATAATCAACTAAGTTGTCATTTTTCCGAAGAAGCTCACTGATTTATTAAGCAATATATATAAGAAGAGATTAAGGTTCAAATTTAGACAATAATAATGTGTAAATATATTATACTTAAAGTAATTAAGGTTCAAATTTCGACAATAATAATATGTAAATTATACTTAAAGTAAACAGATTTTTTAGTTCTGATTGTCCATATTTGATTAAGTATGAATAAATGAATATTTGATTGTCCATATTTGGTTCATACTTTTTAGATAGTTTTATGCATTCAATCGCATAATATTAAGTTTAATCTGAAACACAAAGAATCAATAACGCCTGGCAAATTATGTTGTGCATCCGTATGCACCATGCATGGTGCATACGGATGCAAAAACGACGTCGTTTTATTAAAAACGCGCGTCTCCCCTTAAAAAAAAAAAATCAGGTTCGATTCCCAGTAACAACATATGAACTAAAATTCCATAATCGATGAACTAAAATTCCAGAATCTAATCTATGAACTAAAAATTTCAGAATAAATGAACTAAAATTTCAGAATCGATGAACTACAATTCCAGAATCGATAAACTATAATTCCAGAATCAATGAACTAAGGGAGGGTGTATTCAATCATGACTTTTGTAGAGTTTTAAAGACTTTTAAAATGATAGATTTTAATAAATTTTGATTGACTTTCATAGAGTCGTTCAAAACTTTTTAAAACTTTATAAGACTCTATAAAAGTCTATATAAAAAACATTCATAGACTTTTATCAACTTTTTATTTTAAAAAGTCTACAAAAGTCATTGAAATTCTTAATTGAATACATCCTTACAAACTTTCAATGATTTTGATTATTATCATTTATAATTTTCTTACAAAACATTTATAATATATCATAAAATTCTTCTTATTAAATAGTTCTTCACCCACATCAACATTCTCAACATTATTATTTTTATCCATAGTATGTTGAGACTTCTAATTACTTTTATATATATATATATATATATATATATATATATATATATATATATATATATATATATATATATATATATATATATATATTAATAAACATCAACAAAAAAAAAAACTATTTCATTAGAAATTCATAACAATATTGAACAATAAAATTTAAAATAAACGAATTGATCAAATTAAATATTTAAAAATATAATTACAAGTTGCATAAAACAAAAAATAAAAATCTAATATTAATAATATATATATAAAAATTATACTTGATATATTGCTAGGCATCACGCAAAGAACTATTATTTCCAATAGCAATTTGAGACTGAGAACAACAACAAGGTGTTACTGTTAGCAATCACAAATTGTTGTTGCGAACAGTAGTTAGCTATTCGTAGTAACTTGTTGTTAAAAAAAAAAAAGAAAAAATATATATAACGAATATAAACATAAAAAAAAATCAAAATATATAAGTATTTATATGAATATTATGAAACATATACTAAAATTTGACGGTAGAAAAATTTGCTTCTTTCATGTATTTAGGGAGAATTAGAGAAAGTTAGGGATAAAAAATTTATAGAAAAAATAAAAATCAATATAAACAAGCAATAATGAAGTAAAAATAATATTATTTCGAATTTTTAGATAAAGATAGTAAAGTTTAAGAGAGAGAGAGAAAAATTGGTAGATTTAGGTATGAGGAAAATATAGGATAATGAAGAAAAAAATAATTTTATTGAATTTAGATAGGTTTATGAAGTTTAAATAGGGAGAGTTTAAATAGGGAGAGAAAATATTCAAAGTTGTTAGAAAGAAAATTTTGAAATCTTGGGGTTGATGGTTGGATTTCAACTATTTATATTTGAGAAAGAAAAGTCTTCAAAAGTCTTAAAATTGAAAAGTCTACAGAAGTTCATAACTTTTTGAATACCACATAACTTTTAAAACTTTTTAAAAGTCTTAATCGAATACCATACGACTTTAAAAGACTCTTTAAAAATCTTGATTGAATACCGCCTGACTTTTAAAGACTCTCTAAAAGTTTGAATTGAATACCTCCAAACTTTTAAAGTTCATAAAATTCCATAATCTATGAACTAAAATTCCAAAATGAATAACATAATGTTGTTGCTGGGAATCGAACCAGAATTTTTTTTTTAAAGGGAGACACATGTTTTTAATAAAACAACATCGTTTAACTACTCATAACACCTCCACTAAGGCTCAAACTCACAACCTTCCAAATAGAAATCCAACCCAAGTACCATTAAACCACACAATCTTGGTATATATTTTTGGTTTGATATTATTAGAATTTGTAAATTCAATTTATTTCTCACAAGTTTGATTTTATGCATTAAAACATTTTGTCATGGGCTTACCGTCTGAATCTTTCAAAATACTGATTCATTATTTTATTATTCAAAGTTGTGTCTTTTTGGTTTGGGCTCATATTAGTACTTTGAATATTAAATTTTATATTTTCAAATTAAGCTTGTATTTAAATTGCTTTAACTTATGCAATTTATTTAGAATATATGAGTTTAATGTTTAATTTTATGCATATTTGTCCTAAGCATAATATTCTGTTTTAAATTATGCAATTTTTTTATTATGTCTTTAGCAATGCATACTTTGGGATGGAATTATATTAGTTCCTTATTAAGTTGGACTTATGCATAAACTTTAGTTACGGTAGTGCTTGAATTTAAACACGTTTAGTCTGTTAATTTAGTTCATCATTTAAGCTTTAATCATAGGTGAATCATACAGTTTTCTGCCGTATACCCTACACTTTTAGGGTCATACCCCCAAATAGTTTTACACTAAGTATATATGAATCGTGGAGACATACTAATTTTAATGGCCATAACTTGAGAACATCTTGTGCAACTAGTCTCCTTAAATTGATATTCTATCTAAGGAATTGGTTTTCAGTGAAACTTAGTCTCTAACCACCTTTCCTTGGAGTATATTTAGATTTTCCCATCACAATTTGGTATAATCTGTTTGTCAAAAATTTGAGTATTCATTGTCAATGTGATTTGATTTCGGTTCATTAAAGAATAGCCATAGCATCTTTAATTTACTGAAGTCTCTTAAGTTTTCAATATTGGTTAATTAAGGAATAGGTACATCATATTCAACTACCTAAGATTATTAAGTTATGATCTTATAATTTTAATTTGGTTAGGGAATAGTCACAACATCCTTATCGGTTAAAATTATATAGGTTAGGCAAGGAATTGATAAATGTCTAGTGATCTTATAATTTTGATTTGGTTGGGGAGTAGCAGCCACAGCATCCTTAATCAGTTAAAATTATATATTAAGCAGTTTATTTTGATCATATAAAGTTTTGGACACATATCATTTGTGATTAATTGTATGTAATATGATGAAATTTAGCCCACAGGCAATTTTGTTATATTTGTATAATTAATCAGGATGAAATACAAGACCACGATCATAATTTAGCCCACAGGCAATTGTGTATCGGAATGTGGCAAATTATATTATGCACCGCGGTGCATAATCGATTATGCACCGCGCGTCTTTTTTTTTTTAAATGAAAATAAACAGTGTTTGTTTCCGCCGTTTCGCACCCTTTTGCAAAAAGTAACTCTGTTGTTCAGTGTCATTTTGTATACACTGTAGTTTCAGTTCAACACAACTACAGTTTCTTTTCGATATAATTATAGTTTCATTCGATTTTTATAAACTCAAATATGTGAAAATGTTATTTAATTTTATTTTATATACACTATAGTTTCATTAAAACACAACTACATGATCATTTTGATATAATTACAGCTTCATTGTACAATATACACTCAAATATGTGAAATGTTATTCAGTTTCATTTTATATACACTGCAGTTTCATTTCACTATAACTACAGTATCATTTTGATATAACTGCAGTGTCAGTTTAGATATACTATAGTGTCAGTTGGTGTTTAATACACCAAACAAGCGGACTCCGTTAACTCTAACGGCGGGCCGTTTCTTTACTTAAAGAAACGACGCCGTTTTTGACCGCGGTGCACATGCACCGCGGTCTATAATATAACGACCGATCGGAATTTAGTTTAGTAGTTTTATCAGTGATGATAGAAATAAATTAATTTATTTGATAATTTCCAATTCTATCATGAAGTTTAATTATATGATATAAACTTTAGATCATATTTCTTAATTTGCCCACATGGATTAAGAATAGGAACATGATTTCTTAAGTTATATCATAATAGTTGTAATGAATCTTATAGAATAAAACTTTAGCCTACAGGCAAGTTTTATGTCACTTGATTCTTCAACTCATTTGATAATGTTTCATCATAAATACAATATTTTAGTTGGATGTAATTGAATTAAAACTTTAGCCCACAGGCAAGTTTTATGTCTCTAAATTCTTATGACTATTTAGTAATTGAGATAAAATATTATCATAAGGGTTTCTTAATTGGATTTAATAGAATTAATTAAAACTTTAGCTCACAGGCATGTTTTATGTCAATAAATCCTTCAACCCATTAGATAATAATTTTATCACAATTCTTAGACTTTATAAATTTAGCTCAATTATAATTCTAAGTTTCATGATTTGCATTGGCAAAACATGTATTCAGTCACTTCCCAAAATTTAGCCACTTTTATTAATTAATCCACGAATCTTGCTCGGTTCTTCGGACTAACTGTAGTAAGTTACGTGATTTGACATACATCTTTTGGATTTCATTAATAATAAAATGTATCTTTTGAGCCAAATTCTAACTTGGTTTTGGAAGGTGTATTTTGTTTTTTTTTTTTTAGTATGTCCAACTATGGTGGGGAATTATATCTTCATTATTTAGTTGGACTT